TGTTGTTGTTTAGTTTTAGTTTTCCCATTTCCTCTCTTTGTTGCTCAATGATTTTCCTCTGATTTTCAATCTCCTTTTGTTGTTGGATAACCTGCATTCTAAGGTCATTTACCATCCTCTCATCAATCATAATAACTTTATTGGTGGTGTTTGTTAAGATGGAGTAGTGAGGGCCACCATCATACAGGTTGGGTAGGTCAACCTCAAGATTTTCTGTAAGGTTAATGTTTAGGTTGTTTACACTCACCTAACTTTTCTTAAAAGACAATCACATATTTATTTTCTATTTTTATGTCTTTGTTGTTTTCTGCTTTGGTTCTAGTAGGTCTTATTTGTCTTCTGCAAATACTATTATGTTTCTAACTTTCCTTGAACCAAANTTTTAGATATTTTTGAACATAGGCTTCCATAATCTCATCCACTTCTTTATTGACAAGTAATTTTCTTGAGGTGTTAGCTATTTTATAGGCTGTTATTGTCTTATACATTTCCAGTGTGTGATTTTCCAGGGCATTTGATATAATGTTTTGTTTAATGTTCCGGTTAGGGTTAGGTTAGGGTTAGGTTTAGGGTTAGGGTTTGGTAAGGGTTATGGGTTAGGCACTCACACAACTCTGGTAATGTTTTTGGGAACTGGTTAGCTAGTGTTCCAGTGTAATACCTAACTTTTACTCAATGTTAGGTAGGGTTCTCCTTGGTCAGGATTATAGATCTGGGCTCCCAGTCTTAGTCAGGTTTGGGAACTGGTTAGTTGGTGTTCCAGGTTCTACCAATTTTCCAATAGGTAGGAGTTCTCTATGTCTGAGCTCCTTTGTGCTCAGTGCTCTGTCAAACTCTTAGTCTTATTCAATAACAATTAAATTTTTTCTTTTTCATCAACTTTTTATTTTAAACTTTAAAACATATTACAACAATATTTCGCCTCTACTTGAGGCTCATCAGGTTGTAAGTTAAACTGAACACAAACATAAGTATTTATACCATCACCACAAAAAATTTATATATAAAAAACATGAAAAACAGATGGCTGCCCTTGCACTAGCGCCACCTAACTACATTTTTCTTTGTTTCTTTGAAGGTACTACTTCAAATTCATCACCTGATCTTTTGATTAGGAGTCTTTGTTGTATTCCAATATTGCTATTCTCTTTTGGAGTGCTTTCATATTGATACTCACCATCTTCCATATCATCATATTGTCATCATCTTCTTCCTCCTCAGTCTGTTCCTTGGTAGGGACCATTTCTTTGTCTGGAGTTTGTTGAGCTCCTCTGTCTATAGTTGTTGAGCTCCTGGTGTAGAGTTGGAGTCAAGATCCTCAAGGTTAATTGTCACTGGCTCTATTTGAATTTTTCCACAGTATCCTGTTCTGGAAGTGGGAAGAACTTGATGAAGCCCCTTCCCTTAATAGGAAGAGCTTTTGACCAGTCCCATTCATTGCTATTTGGAGTTCTTTGTTCAGTTTCTCTAGTTCCAGTAGGAGCTCTCTGTTTCTCTTATTGGCTTCCTCTAATTTATTATTAGCTTCCTGTAATTTATTACTAGCTTCCTCCAGCTTACTGGAGCTTGCTTTGATTGTACTTTCTAGCTCTACCACTTTGTTCCTAAGGTCTAGATTATCTTTTCGTAGGTTATTCAATGTGGGTCTACTCAGACCCACATAAGAGTATTTATTGTTACAGAGAACTGAGTTCTCATATTGCCATGAGCTACTCCTTAGGCAGAGGTGTATTAAAATTCTCCAAGAGCTCCAGGGTAACCCCTTGGATACTAACTATTGTTGGTCTGGTACTACAAGGAACTCATTCGGGTTTGTCCCTCTAATGTCTGGGTTACTTTTCTTAAACTTAGCTATTTCTACCCAGTCAGCATTATATAGTAATTGCAACAATGTACTCACTTTCTTGACATGGAAGTGTTCTGTCTCTGGTGGACCATGATAGGAAGGATTCTTATGTTGGTAGTGTTGCAGGTCCTCATATGAAGAGCCAGAGCTCCAACATTGTCTTGCTTGTTTTTGATTTTTTTAATGAAAATCCATACATTCTATGTAGTGGAGATATGGTGAAACTAGCCATAGCCCAGTTGCACTTTTTGCAATCAGCAATGAAGAACAAGTGGTCTGAATTACAATTGAGGTCTCCCTCAATCTTTTTAGTAATACGGCCATCTCTGGAGCTCCAGGACCCTCCCTGTATTAGGGCTGGGCAAAGTTTGCACTTATTTGTCATGCATCTAGAAGCTGGCATCTTTAGGAAGTACTTGTTAACACTGTCAAGTGAAGAGGATGACTGAGGTTCTGCACCAGTATATATAGTGGTATAGTTGAGTACTGTCAGAGGTGTTGAGTACTAAGTTGTAAGAACTGTTGAAGCTCACTTGAGCTCTTGGAGCTCTATTGAGTTCTTGGAGCTCTACTGAGCTCTTAGAGCTCTTGGAGCTCTACTGAGATCTTAGAGCTCTTGGAGCTCTACTGAGCTCTTAGAGCTCTTGGAGCTCTACTGAGTTCTTGGAGCTCTACTGAGCTCTTCAAGGTCTCCTGTGGTATTGGAGCTCAACTGAGCTACTGTAGCTCCTTGGAGCTCTTGGACCTTATTGTGGCTAACTGTAGCTTTTGGAGTTCATTGTAGCTTGTAGAGCTTGTTGTAGCTGCTGAAATTCATTACAGTTCTTGGAGTTCACTTTGGCTTTTCTGGAGTAGAATTTTTTCTATGTGTTTTTCCATCATCTCATCAACTTTCTTATTGATAAGCCAGTGTCTGGTAGTAGTTGGGATCCTAAAGGCAGTTATTGACTTATACATTTGGAAGTGAGAACTGTTAGGGGCTAGCTGGTGATTGTTCTCTTGACTTTCTCAGCTATTAGTTGGGCTCCATGTGTTGTGGTATGAGGAGTGGTACCATTTCCTTGGTGGTAAAACCTTCATGTTTATTAAGACCATGTGGGAACAGTGTATCCAAATGGTTGATGATTTCAGTTTCTTTTCTCATTAACCAAACTATTACTGAGCTCTCTGTGAGTTCCTTAGGAGCTACAGCAGCTATGTAGATCTTGAACTTCTTGATATCATGTGTTGCCCATATGGTTATATAGTGGTCTATCTATCTTGTTTTTGAAGCCCAAATTATGGGTACCCCATCTACACTTGATAGTATCTGTAGTCATACCCACATATGCTAACCCACACATAGAGCATTGTAGGATATAGACACAACCCTTGGTGTTACAGTTAATGCTTGGGTTAAGCTCCAAGAGTTGACCTGGTATAGGTCAAATACCTCATCTCTGGAGTCCAGTCTGAGGCAAGTATCACATCTAGTGTTACAACATTTATTGACTTTATACCTCAGTGCCTTTTTTTCTTCAGCTCTGGTGTTGAATTTTTTAATGGTGTCCCTCCCCATTCTCCAGGTGTAGCCATTGACTTTATTGATTCTAATGAGATCTTTGAACTGTGAGATAGCCATTTTGGGATCTTTGCAGTTCTCATATATCTAGTTAGCTGGCTCATTAGGATACCTCTGAATGTGTGTGGTGGATGATTGGATTTGGTGTGTAGCAGTATTCTGGAGTCAGTAGCCTTAAAATGGGTTTCCCAGGAAAGAGAGTTCCCTAGTATATGTAGGTCCAGGTCCAGAAAAGTACTTGATTTAGGGTTCTGGGACCAAGTGAGCTTGATATCTGGATTTCTGTTGTTAGTCTTGTCTTGAACTCCATGATGTCCCTGTCTGGTTTAGTGACCAAAATGATATCATCAATGTACCTGCCATAGTACTCAATTCCTCTGTAAAATCTGTGACCAATTCGTGTTCCCAGGTGTGTAACACTATGTTTGCATATGCTGGACTAAATGGAGCTCCCATAGCTGTGCCCTTTATTTGCAGGAACCTGTGGTTCCCAAAGGTGAAATCATTGTTGTTGAGACAAATCCAAAGGAGTTCCAAGATTAGTTCATCAGGTCTACCTTCATGGTAGTGGGTTAACATGAACTCTTTAACAGCTTTTATGCCCCATTGAGGGTTAATGCTTGGGTATAGAGCTTCTACATCTGCTGTGAAGATCCCTCTGTTTTGCCAATTATGTATCATAGATAGTTTGCCAATGCAATGTTGGGTGTTTTTAACATAGCTAGTGGTACTTTTTGCCATTTTGACCAGATAGTGATCAACAAATTTAGATATTTTATATAGATCAGAGCCTACATAGCTCACCACTGGTCTCCCTTGGGGATCCTATATGGTACTCTCCATTGGGAGCTGTGTTTATGAATTTTAGGTAGGAGGTAAAACTTCTATCTCCTGGGCTATTCTGTGGAGCCATCAGAGTTGCTGTAGATTTGGTAATAATTTTCATTGTAACCAATTCATTAAGGATTTCATTTAACCGGGTCCATTGGGTAGAGCTTATTTTATTGCTGACCTGTTTGTAGGTTGTTCTGTCACAGAGCTGTGTCATGGCTTCAAAGACATAGTCCTCTTTGTCCATTAAGACAATCCTTCTTCCTTTATCAGCTGGTTTAATGATAATGTTAGGATGATTGTTGAGGAAGTTTTTCATTAGGCCTTGATTTCAAAACCCTTCTGGGCTCTATTAATTTTTTCAGAGCCCTTTATAATGTTAATATCCTGTCTGTGATATGGTTAATTTCTGGAATATGACTAGAGGCATGTAATTTAACTCCCTCATTAGTTCAGGTAGAGATGGTGCTTGTATGTCAAGAAGTTTTTTCTTTAGTGGATTATTTCGAAATCTTGGTGTACCATTTTTCTCAATGATCTTTAGCCATTTTAATGTATAATCCAAGATCCCTGTGAAGTGCAAGTTTATAAATTTGTTTGGGGCCCAAGTCCAGGCAAAGCCTAGACCTTGTGCCATAGTGTTCAGGCAAGAACTCTTGATGTTAGAGTTCCTACATAGGTTAAAAACCATACTTGGTTCTGTTTTATTGATAAAAACATGTTTAAAAACATTATAATTGTTATGCTGTTGTGCTTGAAGAGTTAGGAGTTTCCCTGGTCCATAGTCTCCTCATCAGCACTCATTTTCTCTGTAATTCCTTTAAATAAGACAGTCATGATTGCCAATTCCTTTCTTAGTTCTGAGATTTCATCCTTAGAGTTCTTGTAAGGTTCTTTGTGTCTGGTTTTGTCTGCTGGTTTCTTGGATCTCTGTATGGTAGGGAGCTCTTTGAAATTTTCATGGAGCTCTCTATTGAAAGAGTCATCTAAGGGAGCTTTTAGATTTTGGTAACCAAGTATACACTTTCTTTAAGTTGGCCCAATTAATCTTTTTGCCATATTTTTGTATCGATCTGGTTTTAGCTACTTCAATAGCTTTCTTAACCTCTGATTGATTGTAATTTTGCTGATCATTTTTATCTTGTCCCTCATTTTAGAGAGCCTCTCATTGAGCTCCTCCAGCACCACTCTATTTGTTTCTCTAGCACAAGTATTGGCTATTTCATGTAGTTGGTTGAGTCTTTCCCCAGTAATGGACCTCCTGTGATTCTAATTGAGTCCATCATATCCATGGCCTTTTTGGTCCAAGGTTATATTCCTTAAGTCTCTCAATCTGGTGAATAGAACTGTAAGTTTTACTCATAGCTCTAGTCAGGGCTTTTTCCTTGTCACTTAGAGAACCTTTAAAACCATTTGCATCAGGTGCAGTCTGGCTCTTTGTGACTTGTACCCATCGGGTTTGTCTGGAGCTCTGGAGTAGGTGTCTTTCTTCCTGTTTTTTTTGTTCTTCTAGGAGCTTGGTTTTGTTTAGGGTCCATTGCCAAAGTCTGTACTGGGTAGGTTAGGGTTTGGTAAGGTTATGGGTTAGGCCACTCACACAACTCTGGTAATGTTTTTGGGAACTGGTTAGCTAGTGTTCCATGTAATACCTAACTTTTACTCAATGTTAGGTAGGGTTCTCCTTGGTCAGGATTATAGATCTGGGCTCCCAGTCTTAGTCAGGTTTTGGGAACTGGTTAGTTGGTGTTCCAGGGTTCTACCAATTTTCCAATAGGTAGGAGTTCTCTATGTCTGAGCTCCTTTGTGCTTCAGTGCTCTGTCAAACTCTTAGTCTTATTCAATAACAATTAAATTTTTTCTTTTTCATCAACTTTTTATTTTAAACTTTAAAACATATTACAACAATATTTCGCCTCTACTTGAGGCTTCATCAGGTGTAAGTTAAACTGAACACAAACATAAGTATTTATACCATCACCACAAAAAATTTATATATAAAAAACATGAAAACAAGATGGCTGCCCTTGCACTAGCGCCACCTAACTACATTTTTCTTTGTTTCTTTGAAGGTACTACTTCAAATTCATCACCTGATCTTTTGATTAGGAGTCTTTGTTGTATTCCAATATTGCTATTCTCTTTGGAGTGCTTTCATATTGATACTCACCATCTTCCATATCATCATAGTTGTCATCATCTCTTCCTCCTCAGTCTGTTCCTTGTAGGGACCATTTCTTTGTCTGGAGTTTGTTGAGCTCCTCTGTCTATAGTTTGTTGAGCTCCTGGTGTAGATTGGAGTCAAATCCTCAAGGTTAATTGTCACTGGCTCTATTTTGAATTTTTCCACAGTATCCTGTTCTGGAAGTGGGAAGAACTTGATGAAGCCCCTTCCCTTAATAGGAAGAGTTTGACCAGTCCCATTCATTGCTATTTGGAGTTCTTTGTTCAGTTTTCTCTAGTTCCAGTAGGAGCTCTCTGTTTCTCTTATTGGCTTCCTCTAATTTATTATTAGCTTCCTGTAATTTATTACTAGCTTCCTCCAGCTTACTGGAGCTTGCTTTGATTGTACTTTCTAGCTCTACCACTTTGTTCCTAAGGTCTAGATTATCTTTTCGTAGGTTATTCAATGTGGTCTACTCAGACCCACATAAGAGTATTTATTGTTACAGAGTATTTATTGTTACAGAGAACTGAGTTCTCATATTGCTCATGAGCTAACTCCTTAGGCAGAGGTGTATTAAAATTCTCCAAGAGCTCCAGGGTAACCCTTGGATACTAACTATTGTTGGTCTGGTACTACAAGGGAACTCATTCGGGTTTGTCCTCTAATGTCTGGGTTACTTTTCTTAAACTTAGCTATTTCTACCCAGTCAGCATTATATAGTAATTGCAACAATGTACTCACTTTCTTGACATGGAAGTGTTCTGTCTCTGGTTGGACCATGATAGGAAGGATTCTTATGTTGGTAGTGTTGCAGGTCTCATATGAAGAGCCAGAGCTCCAACATTGTCTTTGCTTGTTTTTGATTTTTTTAATGAAAATCCATACATTCTATGTAGTGGAGATATGGTGAAACTAGCCATAGCCAGTTGCACTTTTTGCAATCAGCAATGAAGAACAAGTGGTCTGAATTACAATTGAGGTCTCCCTCAATCTTTTTAGTAATACGGCCATCTCTGGAGCTCCAGGACCCTCCCTGTATTAGGGCTGGGCAAAGTTTGCACTTATTTGTCATGCATCTAGAAGCTGGCATCTTTAGGAAGTACTTGTTAACACTGTCAAGTGAAGAGGATGACTGAGGTTCTGCACCAGTATATATAGTGGTATAGTTGAGTACTGTCAGAGGTGTTGAGTACTAAGTTGTAAGAACTGTTGAAGCTCACTTGAGCTCTTGGAGCTCTATTGAGTTCTTGGAGCTCTACTGAGCTTAGAGCTCTTGGTCTACTGAGATCTTAGAGCTCTTGGAGCTCTACTGAGCTCTTAGAGCTCTTGGAGCTCTACTGAGTTTTGGAGCTCTACTGAGCTCTTCAAGGTCTCCTGTGGTATTGGAGCTCAACTGAGCTACTGTAGCTCCTTGGAGCTCTTGGACTTATTGTGGCTAACTGTAGCTTTTGGAGTTCATTGTAGCTTGTAGAGCTTGTTGTAGCTGCTGAAATTCATTACAGTTCTTGGAGTTCACTTTGGCTTTTCTGGAGTAGAATTTTTTCTATGTGTTTTTCCATCATCTCATCAACTTTCTTATTGATAAGCCAGTGTCTGGTAGTAGTTGGGATCCTAAAGGCAGTTATTGACTTATACATTTGGAAGTGAGAACTGTTAGGGGCTAGCTGGTGGATTGTTCTCTTGACTTTCTCAGCTATTAGTTGGGCTCCATTGTGTTGTGGTATGAGGAGTGGTACCATTTCCTTGGTGGTAAAACCTTCATGTTTATTAAGACCATGTGGGAACAGTGTATCCAAATGGTTGATGATTTCAGTTTCTTTTCTCATTAACCAAACTATTACTGAGCTCTCTGTGAGTTCCTTAGGAGCTACAGCAGCTATGTAGATCTTGAACTTCTTGATATCATGTGTTGCCATATGGTTATATAGTGGTCTATCTATCTTGTTTTTGAAGCCCAAATTATGGGTACCCCATCTACACTTGATAGTATCTGTAGTCATACCCACATATGCTAACCACACATAGAGCATTGTAGGATATAGACACAACCCTTGGTGTTACAGTTAATGCTTTGGGTTAAGCTCCAAGAGTTGACCTGGTATAGGTCAAATACCTCATCTCTGGAGTCCAGTCTGAGGCAAGTATCACATCTAGTGTTACAACATTTATTGACTTTATACCTCAGTGCCTTTTTTTCTTCAGCTCTGGTGTTGAATTTTTTAATGGTGTCCCTCCCATTCTCCAGGTGTAGCCATTGACTTTATTGATTCTAATGAGATCTTTGAACTGTGAGATAGCCATTTTGGGATCTTTGCAGTTTCTCATATATCTAGTTAGCTGGCTCATTAGGATACCTCTGAATGTGTGTGGTGGATGATTGGATTTGGTGTGTAGCAGTATTCTGGAGTCAGTAGCCTTAAAATGGGTTTCCCAGGAAAGAGAGTTCCCTAGTATATGTAGGTCCAGGTCCAGAAAAGTACTTGATTTAGGGTTCTGGGACCAAGGTGAGCTTGATATCTGGATTTCTGTTGTTTAGTCTTGTCTTGAACTCCATGATGTCCCTGTCTGGTTTAGTGACCAAAATGATATCATCAATGTACCTGCCATAGTACTCAATGTCCTCTGTAAAATCTGTGACCAATTCGTGTTCCCAGGTGGTGTAACACTATGTTTGCATATGCTGGACTAAATGGAGCTCCCATAGCTGTGCCCTTTATTTGCAGGAACCTGTGGTTCCCAAAGGTGAAATCATTGTTGTTGAGACAAATCCAAAGGAGTTCCAAGATTAGTTCATCAGGTCTACCTTCATGGTAGTGGGTTAACATGAACTCTTTAACAGCTTTTATGCCCCATTGAGGGTTAATGCTTGGGTATAGAGCTTCTACATCTGCTGTGAAGATCCCTCTGTTTTGCCAATTATGTATCATAGATAGTTTGCCAATGCAATGTTGGGTGTTTTTAACATAGCTAGTGGTACTTTTTGCCATTTTGACCAGATAGTGATCAACAAATTTAGATATTTTATATAGATCAGAGCCTACATAGCTCACCACTGGTCTCCCCTTGGGGATCCTATATGGTACTCTCCATTGGGAGCTGTGTTTATGAATTTTAGGTAGGAGGTAAAACTTTCTATCTCCTGGGCTATTCTGTGGAGCCATCAGAGTTGCTGTAGATTTGGTAATAATTTTCATTGTAACCAATTCATTAAGGATTTCATTTAACCGGGTCCATTGGGTAGAGCTTATTTTATTGCTGACCTGTTTGTAGGTTGTTCTGTCACAGAGGCTGTGTCATGGCTTCAAAGACATAGTCCTCTTTGTCCATTAAGACAATCCTTCTTCCTTTATCAGCTGGTTTAATGATAATGTTAGGATGATTGTTGAGGAAGTTTTTCATTAGGCCTTGATTTTCAAAACCCTTCTGGGCTCTATTAATTTTTTCAGAGCCCTTTATAATGTTATATATCCTGTCTGTGATATGGTTAATTTCTGGAATATGACTAGAGGGCATGTAATTTAACTCCCTCATTAGTTCAGGTAGAGATGGTGCTTGTATGTCAAGAAGTTTTTTCTTTAGTGGATTATTTCGAAATCTTGGTGTACCATTTTTCTCAATGATCTTTAGCCATTTTAATGTATAATCCAAGATCCCTGTGAAGTGCAAGTTTATAAATTTGTTTGGGGCCCAAGTCCAGGCAAAGCCTAGACCTTGTGCCATAGTGTTCAGGCAAGAACTCTTGATGTTAGAGTTCCTACATAGGTTAAAAACCCATACTTGGTTCTGTTTTATTGATAAAAACATGTTTAAAAACATTATAATTGTTATGCTGTTGTGCTTGAAGAGTTAGGAGTTTCCCTGGTCCATAGTCTCCTCATCAGCACTCATTTTCTCTGTAATTCCTTTAAATAAGACAGTCATGATTGCCAATTCCTTTCTTAGTTCTGAGATTTCATCCTTAGAGTTCTTGTAAGGTTCTTTGTGTCTGGTTTTGTCTGCTGGTTTCTTGGATCTCTGTATGGTAGGGAGCTCTTTGAAATTTCATGGAGCTCTCTATTGAAAGAGTCATCTAAGGGAGCTTTTAGATTTTTGGTAACCAAGTATACACTTTCTTTAAGTTGGGCCCAATTAATCTTTTTGCCATATTTTTGTATCGATCTGGTTTTAGCTACTTCAATAGCTTTCTTAACCTCTGATTGATTGTAATTTTGCTGATCATTTTTTATCTTGTCCCTCATTTTAGAGAGCCTCTCATTGAGCTCCTCCAGCACCACTCTATTTGTTTCTCTAGCACAAGTATTGGCTATTTCATGTAGTGGTTGAGTCTTTCCCCAGTAATGGACCTCCTGTGATTCTAATTGAGTCCATCATATCCATGGCCTTTTTGGTCCAAGGGTTATATTCCTTAAGTCTCTCAATCTGGTGAATAGAACTGTAAGTTTTACTCATAGCTCTAGTCAGGGCTTTTTCCTTGTCACTTAGAGAACCTTTAAAACCATTTGCATCAGGTGCAGTCTGGCTCTTTGTGACTTGTACCCATCTGGGTTTGTCTGGAGCTCTGGAGTAGGGTGTCTTTCTTCCTGTTTTTTTTGTTCTTCTAGGAGCTTGGTTTTGTTTAGGGGTCCATTGCCAAAGTCTGTACTGGGTAGGTTAGGGTTTGGTAAGGGTTATGGGTTAGGCCACTCACACAACTCTGGTAATGTTTTTGGGAACTGGTTAGCTAGTGTTCCAGTGTAATACCTAACTTTTACTCAATGTTAGGTAGGGGTTCTCCTTGGTCAGGATTATAGATCTGGGCTCCCAGTCTTAGTCAGGTTTTGGGAACTGGTTAGTTGTGTTCCAGGGTTCTACCAATTTTCCAATAGTAGGAGTTCTCTATGTCTGAGCTCCTTTGTGCTTCAGTGCTCTGTCAAACTCTTAGTCTTATTCAATAACAATTAAATTTTTTCTTTTTCATCAACTTTTTATTTTAAACTTTAAAACATATTACAACAATATTTCGCCTCTACTTGAGGCTTCATCAGGTTGTAAGTTAAACTGAACACAAACATAAGTATTTATACCATCACCACAAAAAATTTATATATAAAAAACATGAAAACAAGATGGCTGCCCTTGCACTAGCGCCACCTAACTACATTTTTCTTTGTTTCTTTGAAGGTACTACTTCAAATTCATCACCTGATCTTTTGATTAGGAGTCTTTGTTGTATTCCAATATTGCTATTCTCTTTTGGAGTGCTTTCATATTGATACTCACCATCTTCCATATCATCATAGTTGTCATCATCTTCTTCCTCCTCAGTCTGTTCCTTGGTAGGGACCATTTCTTTGTCTGGAGTTTGTTGAGCTCCTCTGTCTATAGTTTGTTGAGCTCCTGGTGTAGAGTTGGAGTCAAGATCCTCAAGGTTAATTGTCACTGGCTCTATTTTGAATTTTCCACAGTATCCTGTTCTGGAAGTGGGAAGAACTTGATGAAGCCCCTTCCCTTAATAGAAGAGCTTTTGACCAGTCCCATTCATTGCTATTTGGAGTTCTTTGTTCAGTTTTCTCTAGTTCCAGTAGGAGCTCTCTGTTTTCTCTTATTGGCTTCCTCTAATTTATTATTAGCTTCCTGTAATTTATTACTAGCTTCCTCCAGCTTACTGGAGCTTGCTTTGATTGTACTTTCTAGCTCTACCACTTTGTTCCTAAGGTCTAGATTATCTTTTCGTAGGTTATTCAATGTGGGTCTACTCAGACCCACATAAGAGTATTTATTGTTACAGAGAACTGAGTTCTCATATTGCTCATGAGCTAACTCCTTAGGCAGAGGTGTATTAAAATTCTCCAAGAGCTCCAGGGTAACCCCTTGGATACTAACTATTGTTGGTCTGGTACTACAAGGGAACTCATTCGGGTTTGTCCCTCTAATGTCTGGGTTACTTTTCTTAAACTTAGCTATTTCTACCCAGTCAGCATTATATAGTAATTGCAAACAATGTACTCACTTTCTTGACATGGAAGTGTTCTGTCTCTGGTGGACCATGATAGGAAGGATTCTTATGTTGGTAGTGTTGCAGGTCCTCATATGAAGAGCCAGAGCTCCAACATTGTCTTTGCTTGTTTTTGATTTTTTTAATGAAAATCCATACATTCTATGTAGTGGAGATATGGTGAAACTAGCCATAGCCCAGTTGCACTTTTTGCAATCAGCAATGAAGAACAAGTGGTCTGAATTACAATTGAGGTCTCCCTCAATCTTTTTAGTAATACGGCCATCTCTGGAGCTCCAGGACCCTCCCTGTATTAGGGCTGGGCAAAGTTTGCACTTATTTGTCATGCATCTAGAAGCTGGCATCTTTAGGAAGTACTTGTTAACACTGTCAAGTGAAGAGGATGACTGAGGTTCTGCACCAGTATATATAGTGGTATAGTTGAGTACTGTCAGAGGTGTTGAGTACTAAGTTGTAAGAACTGTTGAAGCTCACTTGAGCTCTTGGAGCTCTATTGAGTTCTTGGAGCTCTACTGAGCTCTTAGAGCTCTTGGAGCTCTACTGAGATCTTAGAGCTCTTGGAGCTCTACTGAGCTCTTAGAGCTCTTGGAGCTCTACTGAGTTCTTGGAGCTCTACTGAGCTCTTCAAGGTCTCCTGTGGTATTGGAGCTCAACTGAGCTACTGTAGCTCCTTGGAGCTCTTGGACCTTATTGTGGCTAACTGTAGCTTTTGGAGTTCATTGTAGCTTGTAGAGCTTGTTGTAGCTGCTGAAATTCATTACAGTTCTTGGAGTTCACTTTGGCTTTTCTGGAGTAGAATTTTTTCTATGTGTTTTTCCATCATCTCATCAACTTTCTTATTGATAAGCCAGTGTCTGGTAGTAGTTGGGATCCTAAAGGCAGTTATTGACTTATACATTTGGAAGTGAGAACTGTTAGGGCTAGCTGGTGGATTGTTCTCTTGACTTTCTCAGCTATTAGTTGGGCTCCATTGTGTTGTGGTATGAGGAGTGGTACCATTTCCTTGGTGGTAAAACCTTCATGTTTATTAAGACCATGTGGGAACAGTGTATCCAAATGGTTGATGATTTCAGTTTCTTTTCTCATTAACCAAACTATTACTGAGCTCTCTGTGAGTTCCTTAGGAGCTACAGCAGCTATGTAGATCTTGAACTTCTTGATATCATGTGTTGCCATATGGTTATATAGTGGTCTATCTATCTTGTTTTTGAAGCCCAAATTATGGGTACCCCATCTACACTTGATAGTATCTGTAGTCATACCCACATATGCTAACCCACACATAGAGCATTGTAGGATATAGACACAACCCTTGGTGTTACAGTTAATGCTTTGGGTTAAGCTCCAAGAGTTGACCTGGTATAGGTCAAATACCTCATCTCTGGAGTCCAGTCTGAGGCAAGTATCACATCTAGTGTTACAACATTTATTGACTTTATACCTCAGTGCCTTTTTTTCTTCAGCTCTGGTGTTGAATTTTTTAATGGTGTCCCTCCCCATTCTCCAGGTGTAGCCATTGACTTTATTGATTCTAATGAGATCTTTGAACTGTGAGATAGCCATTTTGGGATCTTTGCAGTTTCTCATATATCTAGTTAGCTGGCTCATTAGGATACCTCTGAATGTGTGTGGTGGATGATTGGATTTGGTGTGTAGCAGTATTCTGGAGTCAGTAGCCTTAAAATGGGTTTCCCAGGAAAGAGAGTTCCCTAGTATATGTAGGTCCAGGTCCAGAAAAGTACTTGATTTAGGGTTCTGGGACCAAGTGAGCTTGATATCTGGATTTCTGTTGTTTAGTCTTGTCTTGAACTCCATGATGTCCCTGTCTGGTTTAGTGACCAAAATGATATCATCAATGTACCTGCCATAGTACTCAATGTCCTCTGTAAAATCTGTGACCAATTCGTGTTCCCAGGTGTGTAACACTATGTTTGCATATGCTGGACTAAATGGAGCTCCCATAGCTGTGCCCTTTATTTGCAGGAACCTGTGGTTCCCAAAGGTGAAATCATTGTTGTTGAGACAAATCCAAAGGAGTTCCAAGATTAGTTCATCAGGTCTACCTTCATGGTAGTGGGTTAACATGAACTCTTTAACAGCTTTTATGCCCCATTGAGGGTTAATGCTTGGGTATAGAGCTTCTACATCTGCTGTGAAGATCCCTCTGTTTTGCCAATTATGTATCATAGATAGTTTGCCAATGCAATGTTGGGTGTTTTTAACATAGCTAGTGGTACTTTTTGCCATTTTGACCAGATAGTGATCAACAAATTTAGATATTTTATATAGATCAGAGCCTACATAGCTCACCACTGGTCTCCCCTTGGGATCCTATATGGTACTCTCCATTGGGAGCTGTGTTTATGAATTTTAGGTAGGAGGTAAAACTTTCTATCTCCTGGGCTATTCTGTGGAGCCATCAGAGTTGCTGTAGATTTGGTAATAATTTTCATTGTAACCAATTCATTAAGGATTTCATTTAACCGGGTCCATTGGGTAGAGCTTATTTTATTGCTGACCTGTTTGTAGGTTGTTCTGTCACAGAGCTGTGTCATGGCTTCAAAGACATAGTCCTCTTTGTCCATTAAGACAATCCTTCTTCCTTTATCAGCTGGTTTAATGATAATGTTAGGATGATTGTTGAGGAAGTTTTTCATTAGGCCTTGATTTTCAAAACCCTTCTGGGCTCTATTAATTTTTTCAGAGCCCTTTATAATGTTATATATCCTGTCTGTGATATGGTTAATTTCTGGAATATGACTAGAGGGCATGTAATTTAACTCCCTCATTAGTTCAGGTAGAGATGGTGCTTGTATGTCAAGAAGTTTTTTCTTTAGTGGATTATTTCGAAATCTTGGTGTACCATTTTTCTCAATGATCTTTAGCCATTTTAATGTATAATCCAAGATCCCTGTGAAGTGCAAGTTTATAAATTTGTTTGGGGCCCAAGTCCAGGCAAAGCCTAGACCTTGTGCCATAGTGTTCAGGCAAGAACTCTTGATGTTAGAGTTCCTACATAGGTTAAAAACCATACTTGGTTCTGTTTTATTGATAAAAACATGTTTAAAAACATTATAATTGTTATGCTGTTGTGCTTGAAGAGTTAGGAGTTTCCCTGGTCCATAGTCTCCTCATCAGCACTCATTTTCTCTGTAATTCCTTTAAATAAGACAGTCATGATTGCCAATTCCTTTCTTAGTTCTGAGATTTCATCCTTAGAGTTCTTGTAAGGTTCTTTGTGTCTGGTTTTGTCTGCTGGTTTCTTGGATCTCTGTATGGTAGGGAGCTCTTTGAAATTTTCATGGAGCTCTCTATTGAAAGAGTCATCTAAGGGAGCTTTTAGATTTTTGGTAACCAAGTATACACTTTCTTTAAGTTGGGCCCAATTAATCTTTTTGCCATATTTTTGTATCGATCTGGTTTTAGCTACTTCAATAGCTTTCTTAACCTCTGATTGATTGTAATTTTGCTGATCATTTTTATCTTGTCCCTCATTTTAGAGAGCCTCTCATTGAGCTCCTCCAGCACCACTCTATTTGTTTCTCTAGCACAAGTATTGGCTATTTCATGTAGTTGGTTGAGTCTTTCCCCAGTAATGGACCTCCTGTGATTCTAATTGAGTCCATCATATCCATGGCCTTTTTGGTCCAAGGTTATATTCCTTAAGTCTCTCAATCTGGTGAATAGAACTGTAAGTTTTACTCATAGCTCTAGTCAGGCTTTTTCCTTGTCACTTA